GTGTCCGGAATTGGGACCTTTTTGGCGAATGACACAACTAATCAGACATACTGTATTGCCATGGATGGGATTGATACGAAGACATTGCAAGCTGCATTGGATTGGGCTTGTGGACCAGGGAAGGCGAATTGTTCAGAGATTCAACCTGGAGAGAGCTGCTATCAACCTAATAACGTGAAGAGCCATGCTTCCTATGCGTTTGATAGCTATTATCAGAAAGAAGGGAAGGCTCCTGGATCTTGTGACTTCAAAGGAGTGGCTATCATCACCACCACTGATCCAAGTACGTGTGACTATAATTATTTTATTCTTTTCTTTATTGTGTGAAAGTATTGGGAAATCTTAAGGAAGAACATCAACATCTTTCAAAACCTTGATTAGGTGCCTTAGTTTATAGTTTTCTCAATATAAAGTATTGAGGAAAAATAGATTCAATACTCTTAGATGCATGTGCGGTTTTTTCGGGTATCTGGATGCTCTGCATTTAGCAGGTCACCGTCACTACATAATGGGTGTTTGGAGAGAAATAGAGGAGGAAAACTAAGAAGTGAGTGGAAATAAAGAAGTAATAATATTCTGTACAAATTCTACCCTAATGCGTTACACTTTCTATCAGATGCTTAATGCATTATTATTATTATAAAGAAATCACAATTCCTTTTAAAATTATTTTATTTAGTCAGAACATAACATTTGCCATTATTTTTCATCGGAAAACCTAGTTTACTTGGCCTAGTTATGGTATTAATATTGTAGCAGAGTATGAAAAATCATACAAGGAAGCAAGAAATAGAAGAAGTGAGGCTTGAGTTATGAATTCCGTGAAAGCGTTTTGTGTGGCATCCACATTGAATATACAATTTAGCCTTTGATGTGAGAAAATTGGAAAACAGAGGGGTCTTGTGATTTCATTGCCCTGGACATATCAGGCAACTACATCTACATGAAGCAATCCTTGACTTGTAGTCGGATACTAGTTTGTGTGTCCTAGAGAACCACCTGACAACTGAAACGATTCTTGAGCCATGTTTCTAGATTCCCTTCATATGGAAGTAGCTTTCTAACATCAATTTCTCTGAAAGGTCCATTGCTTGCGCCAAAACACTGTTTGATGTGGCTCCACATATTTTGTGTGGTTTCTCTTTGTTGTGTAGTCCAAGTTAAACACTAGTGTTAATTCCTCTTTTTCTTTCTTGTGGGGATACCATTGCAGGTCACGGGAGTTGTATATTTCCTGGAAGGTGAGAAACACTCCTCTTTCTTGTTGCACTCTTGTTTTTTAGTGCCATGCTTCTATAATTGAGACCTTTTTCTTTCATTTTTCAGTATTTTTAACATCATGTAAAAGAGGGATGGCAATGAGTAGGGTTGTACATGAGTCTAGCAGTCTGGTGAGACCGGTTTGACCCGACTATATTTGGTTGGGTCTGACGGGCAAAAGAAATGGTTGGGTTGGTAGGCTTAGTCCATTGTGATTTAGAAAATAAATACAAGGATGCATATAAGCGTTTTAATTTAATTTTTCACAGGGATAAACTAAGACTACCCCTTTGAAAATTGAAAAGACTAATCTTATATTCAACTATAGAATACTCCCTTTGGCTCTCATAAAGACCTATTAATATTAATAATTTTACATAAATTAAAGATTTTGGTTAAAACTAGTTCGCATTTTCGAAATTCCAAAATTACGACGAGTGTCAGTTGATTAGAGAAGGTTGTTTAGTTAGTTGGGAGATTGCTATCTTGGTATCAAAGCAAATGATTAAAAAAAATACTTCGGAGATTGTAGGGAAGGGCCTTATATTATAATAAAAGCAGGAGAGTGTAATATATGAATACGCACATGCACGTGTATCTGCATCTTTTTCTGAGCGTGTTCCTTCGTTGTGTTTGATGCAGTAAGAAAATAAGCAACAAGACGAGTCAAGGATCCAATTCTACTACTCAATCCAGCAATGCAGGGAATAACAAGTTAAGGTTGAGCAGCATCAAAATAAGTGCTCTTAAAAACGTTTTGCACATTTCCTTCGCTGCAGCCTTGCCCTTTATGATGATGATGCTGTTCCTTTTTTGATGCTAAGCTAAGCTGAGGCTCAAATAAATCAATTTTTGTTCTTTCTTTTGGGGATAATGTAGGGATTATTTTGAGTTTCTTAAGGTAGAGGATTAGAGAGTAGAAACTGTGGGTGACCTGCAATGCCCTCTGTGTTTATGTGTAGATGCTTCATTTTGATCGGAGGAGGGTGAATAATCTATAATCCATCCTGGGTTCTTGTAATTAAATTATCTATTCATTTATATTATATTTGTCAATTGTTAATTAATTAAAATATGCTAATCGCATTGGAGGGTCCATTTTGTCTCAACTCAACCATGAATTACTATTGTGTTCGCGCACAATTGGTAGATAATTGAGTCTAAATATGTTGTGATTCGAGAGGACTAGAGGAATTGGATTCCTAACCATGTGTGTCAGAGAGATCTTATTGAAGTTATTATTGGATGGGGCGAAATTCGCATATACTCTTTTTCGGTTCGGTTCAAAATATGAGCTGAATTTTTTCTATTATGTTTATTAAAAAAACTAATTAAAATCAATTTAAAATAATAAATGTGTAAGGTGAATAAGTAAATTAAAGAGGAGAGAGAATATATGAGGGTAAAATTGAATATTATCTTATAAAAAAAAACTAACCCATTTAAGAAAATTTAGTTTGTATTTTGAATTGGAGAGAATATTAGTTATTAGTTCTAGTTCTAATTATAAAATTTTATTTACAGAATGCAAATGAAGTCTCATAATTAAAATTAGAAGTAGTATTTGATCTTTTATGTCTTGGGAGGGATTGGTCTTTAGTTGTGGACAGGACATATGAACTATGCACACGGATTGTTAGACAGGCTATTCTTTTATTGATTATATATTTTTTCAGAAATTTTATATTTAATATCCATATTGAGATTGATGGATAAATGTCTTCTCTTTCAGTAAAAGATTGATGTATAACATGCTGGCAGGAAATAAAAGAATTTTGATGTGAAATTTATCTTTTTTTGCCTGAAATATTAGTATTTAAAGTTAACTGTTAAAATAGTTATTTTCACTGTTAATAATGAGAGCAATATTGTTATGATTTCAAATTTTTAAAATAAATTTACACTCAAAAAAGCTATCAATTACCTAGTATTTTATTAAAATTTTTCAGACAAATTTGTATCCTAATATTTGAAAAATTTTCATATAAATACTATTTGAATTCTAAAATTTTAAATTAATCATTCTAATTCCACAAAAGACAAGTATTTAGGTAGTAAATAAGGATTTGCAAATTTTGGCCAATTATTCTTATGCCCTTTCTTTCATTCTTTTTTAGGTTCTTTCCGCGTTTGTTTGCAGATTGAGTTTCAAGGCAGAACTGATTCAACTGTTCCGCTGCAGTTTTCGACATGAAAGGCAACAAACCGAAGGCGGAATCTAAAAAAGCTGATGCCAAGTGCCATTTTCTCCTTTTTTTTGGTTGTTATTTAAATCTTAATAGGTGCTTTATCGTTTAGGATCTGAAATTTTGTATTCTCCATGGTAGCAGGCAGGAAACCAAGCAAGGTGAAGGCTGTGAAAGACCCTAACAAACCAAAGAGACCGACCAGTCCCTTCTTTGTTTTCATGTAATTATTTTTTTTTATCCCTCCGTTTGATCCCGCCATGCTTATCAACAAATTTGCTTGGGGTCAGCTCTGATATCTTTAACGAAAGACTCCCAATTATTTAATTTATTCCATCCGCCAATAAATGTAAGTGTTGGATACGTTCCTTGTCCACCTATAAGTTTGTTACTTGTTCAATTTGTCTAGCTCAATCCCCCCAAACTGCACCAAGAATGAAAATCACGAGGTTACAAAACTCCTTATGAAAATGCTCCAATACATTTTGCGAGTTATCAATTATATTACATGTTTAGTAAAATTTGTTTGAAAATAGCTAATAACAAGTTGCAAAATGTGTTATGCAGACAATCAATGTCATTTTGCAAGTTGTCATCACATTACATGTTTAGTAAAATTGTCTAAAAATGACTAATAACAGGTTATGAAACGGTTATGAAAATAGTCATATTCATTTTGAAAATTGTTAATCACATCGCATGTTTAGTACAATTGCCAAGAAAAGGCTAATAATATGTTGCAAATCGCATTATGTCAATAATTGATTTTATTTTACAAGTTGTCAACCATGTTGTGTGTTTAATAAAATTGTCTAAAAATGACTAATAACAAGTTGTAAAACGCATTATCAAGATAGTTAATTTCATTTTGCAAGTGGTCAATCACATTATACATTCAGTAAAATTATTTGAAAATGGATAATAACAAGTTGGAAAAGAGGGTTATGAAAAGAACAAAATTCATTTCACAAGTTGTTAATCACATTGCATGTTTAGTAAAATTGTCTGAAAACAACTAATAATGGGTTGTAGAATGTGCTATAGAAATGGTTAGTTTTATTTCACAAGTTGTCAATCGTGTTACATGTTTAGTAACTTTGTTCAACTCAACTTTTTGAATTTTACTAAGTCTGTAAATAGTTAATAACAAGTTACAAAACCCGTTATGTTTTCATAACATCAAAAAGCTTGCTTGTTTATAATAACATCAAAAGGCAAAATTTTTAATGCTTTTCATCTCACTTTAGTGGTATTTAGTCTTTCTATCAAATTTTGCAATTTTCATATTCCTACCTCATGTCTGTTAGTCATTTCATCTTTTTAAATTTCAATAGGTATTTTTGGGTTATTTTTCCTTAATATTTTTTTTCTTTTTATTTTTCATTCCCCCCCCCCCCCCCCCCCCGGGGTGTATGAACCAGCGCAATCAAGCCAGAAGCATGGACTCACACGACATAGCCGAGTTGCCGTTTAAAGAAACATTCTTGGTGCGTTTTGACTTTTAGTCGATTCAATTCGATTCGATTCTACTCCCACACTCAAAGCCGCTAGAAATTTGAAATGAGATTGCAAGTTTCATCGCCTTCTCAAGCTTTCTCTCGAGCCCTAGTAAAGTTGGCCGCTTGTTGTAACATTTCGATGTCTTGGTCCTGCAAAAAATGCACATTTTTGAACCCTCCGTCACAGAAGTCGTCTTGTCAAATCTGCTTGTCGTCGTCACCTTCATTGTCTCCACCTGCTTCTTCATCTTCTTCGCCCCCTAAATGGTCATGCAAGGCCTGCACTTTCTTGAACCCGTATAAGAATTCTAACTGCGAAATCTGCGATACAAGATGCCCTGTTTTGTCCCTATCGAACTTCGAGGATTTGAATGACCCCCTTTACGAGGGCGATTTGGATCCTTCTGTGGGGTCTGTCTTTTTCCCTCTGCGATCTTGCAAGAGGAAGATCACGGAGTCAATTCAGATTGATAACGATCGCGCCGAGTCAGAAAGTTTTCGAGACTTCAAGGCGTCTAGAAAAGAGATTAGTGCCACTGGTGAGTTTTCTTTCGTTCATCCTGGAGTGGATTTAGCCGGCTCTTACATATTACTGGTTTTTTAGTTTCATTTCGTTGGAAGAAGACTTTCGCGGTCTTGTGATAAAGGAGAAAGACATGCCGAAAAGAAACAAAAAATTGCACCCTTTTGTTTCACTGAACGCAAGTTTTTCTTTTTGGCCCTATATAATAAATACATGGTTTGAGAAATAAAATATTGCGCTTGAACAGTCTACTCTGAGAAGGTAACTCAAAATGCTTGTATCTAGTTACAAACTTGAAAGGACTTTACTGCTCTGAGTTGCGACCCGTGCCCTTTCGGCTCCATTTTGGTCCTCAAAGGACTGATTTTTACGAACTTGAAGGGACTGCGTTGGAATAATTTGAGAACTTAATATACAAGTATTTAGTTACAAACTTGAAAGGTCAGGGTAAATAAAGGTTACAACTTGAAAGGACTATTTGTGCATAGGAATAAGTAAGTGTTTTGGATAACGACCTTATCCCCTTCGGCCCCAGTTAAGCCCTTTAGGTTTCTGGTGCTTTCTTGAAAGGCTTATTTATTGTTTTGGTCACCGCCTTGTTATTGATTGAGGCTAAACCCGGTCTTCTTCCTTTGTGATAAACTGTTGGTTTTCTGCTCGTATTCAACAGACGGGTGTCTAGCTTATACATTACTAAACACAGACTAACTGTATGGCAGAGCATTCAGGCAAGCCTCTCAGTTCGTTGAAGATCCTAAGTTACAATGTTTGGTTCCGGGAAGATTTGGAGGTTCATAAGAGGATGGAAGCAATTGGTGACCTTATTCAACATCATAACCCTGATTTAATCTGTTTTCAGGTTTCCTCTGTTAAATATTTCTGTTGCGTTCATTTATGATTGCCAACAAACATGCTTCTTTATCGATCTTTACCTCTTCTTGAACAGGAGGTGACTCCAAATATATTCGACATTTTCAAGGAAGCTAGCTGGTGGAATGTATATCGTTGCTCAGTTTCTTTCGACAAGGCTTACTCAAGGCAATATTTTTGTGCGGTGGTAAGTTTTACACTGCCAAACATATTTTATATGTCTCTGCACTCATACCACGCGGCCGATGATTGGTGCATCCTGATGCGTTTTTTGTAGTTCAGCCATACAGATACTGGATATGAAATGGCATTGATAATGGGATAGTTATGGGCATATCAGAATTCTTTAGCTTACCATATAGATTTAAATATTTAATAGACAGACGTGCTCCTTTGTCTTCTGTCATGCAGTTTGTTGAGGAGGATTAAACTTGTTTGTTCATATTCATGCATGGGAAGTTCTATGCGTTCTAAATGAGCAAGTATTTATGGTATTAATGAGAGGGACTAAGTGGAGAAACACTTTACTGATGTCATGTCTGTCAAATCATTTGCAGTTAAGCAAACTACCTGTTAAATCTTTCAGCACCGTGCCCTTCAGTAATTCTATAATGGGAAGAGAACTTTGCATTGCGGAGATTGAAGCTATGAATGGGAAGCCATTTGTTGTTGCTACTAGCCATCTTGAAAGCCCCTGTCCAGCGCCGCCCAAATGGGATCAGATGTACAGCAAGGAACGTGTAGAGCAGGCCCATGAGGCTATGACTGTTCTTTGCAAGTACCCAAATGTTGTTTTTGGAGGGGACATGAATTGGGATGACAAAATGGATGGTCAGTTTCCTTTACAAGATGGGTGGATTGATGCATGGTCTCAGCTGAGGGCAAATGAAAATGGATGGACATATGACACAAAGTCCAACCAGATGTTGGCCGGCAACCGGACTCTGCAAAAGAGATTAGATCGTTTTATTTGCAGTCTTCAGGATTTCAAGATAAGCAGTATTGACATGATTGGGATGAATGAAATACCTGGTTTGTCCTATAGCAAGGAGAAGAAAGCAAAGAAAGAGACTAAACAACTGGTGCTCCCTGTTTTACCTAGTGATCATTACGGCTTGATTTTAACAATTTCTACTAAGTAGTTAGTAATGCTATTTTGGTGAGACTAAGCTGTTGTTCTCAGTCTTTTGCCCATTTCTCAAGCATGCCTTGCATGTATTTTTGTGTAGACGGAATGTAATCTAAAGTCAGGGGTGCTTTTTTTTGTTGAAACCAAGCTGGTTTTCTGCACAGATCACTGCTATTATGTAAAGAAGTAGCGTTCTTGACATCATACTTCTTGGACTGAACTGTAGAAATTTCTCAATCTTTGTGATGGTTATCAAAAGTTCATTTGCGAACTGCTTCATTTCATGGACTATTTTGCCAGGCACAAATGTTTACAGTTGTGTTGCTTGAAATTTGGATATGCACATTTACTTCCCTAGCAGACTTAGGAATGAATTGAACATGGAACTGTTTTATCCTTTCTTGTGCTGTCATTCATAAGACGGGCTCATTAATTAATTAGGAAAATCAGTAGATATTTGAACATTTTTTTCCTGCCTATTTTGCGTATAAAGTAATCTATAGCTGAATTATCCATGAAATCAATCTCCCCTGAAGGAGTAGATGCCAAATCGTCATCCTCCTTGGATCCTGAAGAATATAGACTTAATTATACTTGTCAGGGTGCAAAACAACACTAGCACCCGTCTTCTTTACCACACTCTTTAAACTTTTTAACAAAAATAATGAATCGAGAATTGAACATTGCATTATTTACTGGCTCCTTTTTTCCCCCCAAAATTAGAGGGGCAAGCATTAATTGTTCAAGATTATGAGGGGATCCAATTTGCAACTTTGTACTTATGGAGAAGTTTTCATGTCACTAAGCTATAAGGTCATTAGCTACTGGTGACACTTTAAATTATGCATAAAACACTTTGATATTCTTCCTGCAGCAATGTCTCTTTATGCCTCTGTTTGCCAAGATCCATATAAACATTACTTGGCCGACAGTAGAGACACACAGGGGTAACATGGGGGGCATGGTTTGGATTGAATAATCTGTAATAACCACAAAAACTTGCATGAATGGTACAATGTGTTGAATTATCCATGCCGGGGAGGGGGGACCATTCAATGAGAATTACATTCTTAAAGATCCCGTGATCTTTTGAATTGGCTGTCACTTTAATGACCGGACAAGAAGGGTGTTGAATGCAAAATCACAGACATTAATGTGATAGTCAGACAAAATCTATTAATGTTGCCACCTACCATGAACACACAATCTCACCGATCCCACCACCTGAACATCAGGAAAATAATAATAAGCATATGCCACAAAATTGTGTATAGCTAAGTAGTCTCTTCAAGAATCCCCTCGGATGAATAAGCCAGGCAGCAAAACGTAAAAACTATTGAAGGTGACATCCTATGGTTTAAGGAAATACAGTAAATCACCTCCTGTTTGGTCACTCCAGGTCAAAATTTTCCCCTTCTCATTTTTTAGAAACAGAAAAAACAAATTATTAAAAAGCATGGTAGCCAGGCAAACTTAGGGTGATGTATTTAACACCTGCATATTTGTACAGACAAGGGCATTAATTGAGTTTTTCCCAATTAAAGAACTGAAACTGTGAAATATTTTACCCATTGCCTAACGAATTTTATGGGTGAAGTTTCATTGTCCTCCGCTGTTAAGCGTAGGCAGCCATTTACTAGAAAACATCCACAGCAGATTGGGAATATGTGATGATCCGAGGCTTTGACGGGCTTGTTCATTGTTCTTCAGACCTAAATTTTTTCTCCAGAGCCTATCAATTTCTTGTTTCTCCAGCACCGCATCGTTTGAAGTCTTCCAAAGACAAAGTCGACGTCGGCGGTGAAGAATTAAAGAACATAAATTATTGAAAAAAGAAAAGGAGGGAAAAGCTGAAAATGCGGTGAGCGTGGATCGAACACGCGACCTTCAGATCTTCAGTCTGACGCTCTCCCAACTGAGCTATCCCCGCTAGTTGGTAGTTTGGCAGATTCGATATATCATCTTAATGAGTGTGTGTGTATATATATTTAAAAAAAAGGAAAACTAATACTGCAATCCTTATACTAGGGCTGCACATGGGCAGGGCAGGACCCTTGCCTGATACCCAGCCCGAAAAATGAACGGGCTGAAAAATGCAGCCCATTACCTGGCCCTGCCCATGAAAAGCCCTAGTAAGTTTGGGCAGGGCAAATGCGGGCTGGACAGGGCGGGCTTCCATGCCCAGCAAATTATTATACTATATTATTTAACTAGTTATTTATGTACTTCTAGATAATAAAATGTAACTTTATATTAAAATAGTAACTTGACTTTAATTTAGTTATTAGCAATTGATATATTATGAAACAACATTTTATAGTTGCTAAGAGGAGTAAACTATGAAAAACAAAAATGTTATTAGTATACTTTATTAAACTTGATTGCTTTTCTAGTTTTTAAAATTTCTTAACCAAATGTAAATATTTTTTCCCCCATAACTCCTAGATACTCATAAGAGCATGGATCAATTATACAAATTGCTAATAGTCATAATGTTTGCATTAAAAAAGAGAATGGTTATACAAATTGCAGTAAATGATAACACGTTTACTTTCAAAATCATTTAAAAATAAATAAGTATAATGAATATTGAATGTTAATTTAACAGAGTATTTGATTCAGGAGATAAATATGAGACAAATAAAATACATATAAATAAAATTATATATATTTTTGTGGGCAGGGCCAAATGGGCAGGGCAACATACCGTGCCCGATGCCCAGCCCTGCCCGACAATATGCCCAGCCCGAATATGCCCAATATATCTTTTGGGCCATTTTTTTAGGACAGGCTGGGCATTTTTTTGCGAGCTTGGGCGGGCATAACGGGCCACTGGGCTCCTTGAACACCCCTACCTTATACTATCATCTCATTTTGAATCAGGTCCTTCAAGTTTTTTTCTTTTTTATTAAATCCTTATTGATTCAACCGTTTCAGCCATTCCTCTTTCCGTCTGAAAAATGCTGAACAGGAGTAAACGTCGTTGAACAGTAGTGATGTGGGCCATGTGGCAGATCATTTTACCTTCAACTCCTCCTTCCCCTTTAAAGGATCTTGCACCTCAATTTCCAAGTTCAAAAGAACATAAAGTAAACAGTTTACACTTAACTCCTCCAGTTTCACCAATGTCACATAGCGATGATGTTTTGAAGAACCACATCAATTTTTTGGGGCACCTCCTCATACCTGCTTCTTACTTCAGTAGCTATCCGAAGCCACGTTTGAGAAGGAAACAGATAAATTAATTGGCACCTCAAATAATTGGTCGTTGATGCACCTTCAGCTCAGACTAATCTCAATGGGAGTGTTGTCATCTGCAGAACCAACAAAAGAAGTCATGAAAATGAAGGATCATATATTTGGTCAAAGGCCTTTTCTTGCAGCAGCTGGTACTGATATATATTGAGCTTTATGGTTCTAGTAACATCGTCTTGTCCCCTCCTGGAGCTTATTGGAAACTCTTCAAATAGATTTCCTCTCAGCATCTAGCATGTTTTTTTTAATATTTGAAGGCTTGATTGATTACTTTGTTTGAACTCGCTTGCTTTCGAATTAGCATGCAAATGGAATCTGCAAAAGCTGATTCTACTATGAATCTGACCGAGCAAATTATTGCCACTGCTTGTAGGATTGCTTCAACGGTAGCTTTCGACGAGATGCACAGCAGCGCCTTAGAACAAGGAAGGATGTGGGCTTGTACTCCGTTTCTCTCGGTATCGCAAGAATGAGTGTAAAAATGTTTGCTTTAATACTTTATGTTATTTTGAACTCAAGAAATTGACGTGTGCTAGATAGTTCAAAGGAGGAAGAGGAGTTGAACGCAGAAGGTTTCGCCACATCATTGCTATTCAACGGCGTTTACCCCTGCTCAACGTTTTCCAAACGGAAGGACGAACGGCCGAAACGATTGAATCAATAAAGATTTAATTAAAAAGAAAGAAACTTGAAGGACCTGATTCAAAATGAGATGATAGTATAAGGATTGTAGTATTAGTTTTTCCTTTAAAAAAAATCCACAACTTGACCTATGACTTAATTGTTTTAATATCTTTTAAAAATGTTTTGACCCTGAAAATATTAATTTGATTTTTTTTTGGAGAAGGAGAAATGGTCGAAAGAACTATTACCTCCGATCCTTATTATAAGACCCCATTTGACTTTTTGTTTGGTCCTAATTATAAGACCCCAATCTATTTTGTCTCCCATATTTATGTATTTTTTTCCAAGATAATCCTTCTACTAATGATAGTTCTAGTCAATATACTTAATTAGTAAGGATATTTTAGGAATGACAATACTTATTTATTATAAATAACTAACTTAACTTACTTCCTTAATCTCCTCAAATAAGTCAATTGGGTCTTATAATTAGGACCGGAGGTAGTATTTTATTATATTTATATGCAAATGTGCTTTTGGTTCGTCCGAATCAAACAAATTGTCATATGTCTTGTCTTAGTATGAAATTAAAATGCCTTTTATTACTTAATTTTTTGGTAACATATTTATATGTAATTTATCCAACAATCTATGCATCTGTAAATTATTTAAATTTTATAGAAGGATGCGATATTTATAAATTATTTAAAGTAAGTCGGTTTTAGAAAAATATGAGCCTGCAACCAAATGTGAAAGCTTAGATAAAAAGAAAAGAACTGTTAGCTTACACTTTATTAAGAAACAACATAATATTTGGATTAATATTCGTAATCATATTTTAAAGATGGCCAATAATGAATATGTTGCTAGTATACTAAAACATAATCTAATGTGGACCAATAATTATATCACCGAGTGATTTTCAAGGCCAACATCTCTTAAATAAAGTTTCGAACTGAGTTTTGTTAATTGAAAGAAAAGGTTATAGTAGTATTTAACATCATGATGTTATTTTCTTATAGTGCAACTAAAATTTTTGATATTATTTTTCATTTACATTCAACACCCTAATTTTATTATGATTTAGGTCATAGGATATACTATAAATAAGATTAAGGTGTTGAAATGATCATAAAAATAAGATGAAGATGTTAAATGCATCATAAATAAGATTAGAGGTGTTGGATGCATAAAAAAAAAAATAGAATGTTAAATGCTACTTTTTTTTTTGTTACAATTCATAGTATCCGTAATTCATTTTGGATTTAAGATTAATTTTTGTCGGGTCTAAAGCATGAAGGTTAAAACCCTTCCCAAAAGTGCGTTTTTTGGGAATAGGAGTAAAGCTGCTTATCATCTCAACCAGTAGTTTATTAATAGATTGTTAAATGCTACTTTACCTCTTAAAAACAAATGTTATGTTGAGAGAAGTCCTGAATTCAATTTAAATTGGAATTAATTAGTAGCATCATTTTTAAGGTAATTTGTCCCCAAAAAAAAATGAATCTTAATTTCATGCATTATACGGATTTCAAAAAGGATGCTTAAACCCCCTCACGCAAGTTCCCGTGGTTATAGTGCTTGTTAATTAGATTATGGTGAGTATTGGACCATATCCAATTATCCAAATCATTAATACATTTTTGCAGCCTTTTATAATTGGTAACTTGATACCCACCATCATGCTATTGAATGATGTGGCTGTCGCAAGGCTACAAATGTTAACGTTAAAAGTATAGGACCATATACAATTATCCAAATCACTTGGGTGTAATTGAGATAACATTCAAAAACATTTATAAGTATGTTTTATGTAAACTGAGATAAAATTTCTCTTATATATTTATTTTATATTCTGTAAATTACGATTAAAAAGTTAGCTATATACTATTCTAATTAGGAGGAAGCCATGAAAGCAACTCAACACGATCAAGAACATTAATAGTTTAATGTCGCATGCATCTTTGTTTTCATCCTAGATATAGATAATCCCTGACCTCAATCACTATTGAACAGATGTTATAGTTGAACTTGGGAAAACACATTAAATTTGATCATACACACGCACACATATATTAATTTTGCCTCTCAGAAGAGATGATCATCCTTAAGACACTAGCAACCTTTTTTAAGGCTTTATTAATCATGTTGTTATGAGTTTAAATTCTTCATAAAAAAATATAAGGATTAAAATATAAATGTATTCTGAAATTTTTTTTTGAAAAGCAATGTTATCTCAGAATTTTTTTAGATTCAATATCGCCTTAAAATTTTCAAAATGCAACAATGTCCCTTTATGTTGTTAGAAAACTAGCATTCAACGTTAAAAAAATTAATGTTGACTATTAATATTTTTAATAGTAAGAGGTAATATTATTTCATTTTAATACTTTTAGAACAATCTTGAACTTTAAAAATTTTTCAGGACTTAAATTATTACGATTTTTTTTTTTGCCAATATCACCAAAGAAATTAAGAAAACATTATATTTGGGATACGGTGCAGGTGCATTGGTGGCCACACTAGATTGATTTCAGGTCACGAGCCATCACTCTTCGCTCTCTCTCTCTCACAGAGTCTACACTCCTACACTGGACTGACAACTCATATGCCATCTCTTCCAAAACAATTTTTTAGACTGTCCCCTCTCTCCATTTCTGTCATCCTCTTATATAATACTTCCAAACAATTATGTTTCCCACTAATGTAAAGTCCTCCCCCTCCATTTTGAGCTCCTTCCTTCTTCCTCATCCTTCGCAGATCTACCATTCCCCATTATTATACCCAACATGAGAGACTGCATTGCCCTTTCTTCTTTCTTTGTTTTACTTCTTTTTCTGCTTCATGGAGCCAAATGTGAAGACCCCTATAGGTTCTTCACCTGGAAAGTCACCTATGGTGATATTTACCCTCTTGGCGTTAAGCAACAGGTACTTCGTTCATTCACTTTCTTCTGTGTTCCCCTCCTTGATTTGCATGTGATGTTAGCCTGTTACTGTTTCTGGGTAGTTTTCTCTTTTCTTCTTTGGGTGTTTTTGGTGGTTCGTTAGATCCAATGTGGCTTGTCTTGTTCAATTTTGCAGGGGATCTTGATCAATGGCCAATTTCCCGGGCCTCATATTGATGCTGTTACTAATGATAACTTGGTTATTAGCGTGTTCAACTACCTTAGAGAGCCACTTCTCATTTCTTGGTAATTTCTAGGATTTTCATTCTTCTTCTTGTTTTTTCTCTTCTTTTGCTATGAAAGTTCTGTTAATGGGAGATTTACATGGAAAGGAACTTTCTACTTTCTACTTCTGTGGAGCATTGCCATGTTTGTTGGTTCTGACTTTTATATCAGTAGATCTCGCCAAGATATTATCTTTCTATAATATGCAGGCATATTCCGTTAATTAAAAGGTCAATGGGTGTAATTAAAGAAAGTGTTGAGTTTAAAATAAATTAGAAAAAGGAAATGATGATAAAATTAGGGTCCATATTGGCTTGGTTTACTTTTTTGCAACTCTGGCGGAACAACACAAGTTGATTTTTTTTTTTTTTTTTGCATATTTGGTAAGCAACGACCGAAGAATTTGGCATGGTTTTGCATTATGAATTGAATAAAGATTAATTTTAAGAATCTGAGCCCTATAATAAGTAACTCGACACTGGTCTCACGAATCTCTGGCAGGCTTCGTTGGGCATGTTAAAAACTTAAAATATTCTGTTTTAGCAGTTGGCAACTTACTGGCACCGTACGTCAATGTTTATTAAATTAATCTTCTGAAGCACTTGGCAACATGTGAATCTCACCAACCCACATGCTATATCTTATGTCTTTACTGCACAAAAATTAATTGTAATCATTATGAAAAAAATAATTGTAACTTGTAAGGTCGAGTAAGGATTTGGATTTTCTGCATTTCTTCAAACAGTTGATTAACTTACGAGAGAGAAAATTACTTTTCATCTAAGATTAACATTCTAATTTTGTACTCTTTCGGTTTTTCCATTTAATAGGAAAGTGTCCGTAAGATGACTTTTGTGAATGACTAACAGATGGGGAGTGATCTCATTATCTAGACCATCTACAATATTGGAGGAAGCTTATCAATGTCAAGTTCTTATAATTACATCTGATGTCTTAATCCTACCAAGGATTTACATAACTTTGCTGATAATTTTGTGATATTTCTTTAGTTATTGATTAGTATTATAATTGAAAACATTTTGTGCCTATTCCTCACCACAAATACAATGGGCCTCTGATAACTAAAATTTCTTTTAACAGTTCAAATATTTTAGGTACTTATATCAATTTCTGAAACTTTGGGCATGAAACAACACTTAGAATGACATCATCTTACGCATTCTGTCATCTTGAACAACAAGAAGAACCTTAAATACCAGTGTATCAAACAAACATAGACATCTTAGAAGCTTCTTGAAACTTAAGGTGCCACGACAAAAATGTTGTGTAACAAGTGCCTGATTAATTTCACCATTGTGCAGGAATGGGTTACAGCACAGGAGGAACTCGTGGCAAGATGGAGTGTTTGGAACAAACTGCCCTATCTTGCCTGGGCGGAACTTCACATACAATCTGCAGGTTAAAGACCAGATTGGAAGCTATTTCTACTTCCCATCTCTTGGAATGCAGAAAGCTGCAGGTGCATTTGGCTCTATCAGAATCTGGAGCCGTCCTAAAATACCTGTCCCTTTCCCTTCTCCTGCTGGTGACTTCCCTGTTCTTGCTGGAGACTGGTTCAAGACAGATTACCGTGTAATAATTCTATAACACTTGTTTCAGTTTCTTCCCTTCTGTTTTCAGGTTCTCTAATTTATCTCCTCTTGTTACTGAACTACGGCTAATTTCTGTTTTGTAATATGTAGAGACTAAGAAGACTCCTTGAGAATGGCCATAATCTTCCATTCCCTGATGGACTTCTCATTAATGGACGTGGCTGGAATGGTTACACTTTCACAGTTGATCAAGGTTGGCTTCTGAATAAAGTTTGATTCCCCCATTTTAGGTTTTGGTCATTACTGAACTGCATCAACATTGACTCCAGACTTGGTCATGCACTGGATAGCTTGCTCAGTCCCAACAAATAATCTCAATTTGAAGTCCAAATTAAATCTGGGATTTTGATTGAGACCCAACTTGAGTTATAATCAATTTCTAGCTTAGTTGTCAAAAGGCCTAAGCCTAGCTAGGCTTGGCTTGAACTTAAATTTATGAAGATTAATATATATAATTTATTTATTTTTAATCTTGAAAGCGTATAATCAAATGGCTTTAAAAACTTTAAGGCTTAAAGATCTGTGCATTTTATTTTTAGAATTTTGTTCAAAATTAATTTAAATAAATAAACAACAGTTCATCAAGTTCCAAGGTTGAGTAATCCTAGTTGGCCAAGACTTCGGATCATTTTTATTTTTTTATTTCCTCCTTCAAAAGTCGTAACTGAAAATAGCCAAGACCAATTTGTGAACTGTCTTGATTAACAGACATTGAGCATTAGTTTTTGAACCATTGGTGCTTCATAGCTAAATTTCAATTTTTTTTGCAACAAAAGCTGACATTTTTTCACAAACTTCCAAGGTTGTGCCTGTGGTTACATCATTGTTCCATTATCGTATATTGCAGGTAAGACATATAGATTCAGGATATCAAATGTGGGGCTTACAACATCCATAAACTTCAGGATACAGGGTCACACGATGAAACTTGTAGAGGTAGAAGGGTCACATACACTTCAAAATGTATACTCTTCTCTTGACGTCCATCTTGGTCAAAGCTACTCTGTGCTGGTCACTGCTAATCAGCCCCCTCAGGATTACTATGTCGTGGTCTCTACAAGATTCACCAGAAGGGTACTTACAACAACAGCCGTTCTTCATTACAGCAATTCTTTTAAGGGGGTTTCTGGTCCTGTTCCTGTAGGACCTACCCTGGATGTTGTTTCATCTGTCAGGCAGGCCAGATCCATCCGGTATGCTTTATTTGTCTTTCACTTCATCATTTATTTAAAGTATTATTTTCTTTTAAAGTCTATCTGTTTGAATTTGAAACTGATGTACTATTACACTATTACACTCCTCTTGCTCTGTTTATCATTCTCACTGTCTTCATCTACATGAGAATGCTAATGCAGTGAAGGACTTTATGGTTAAGAGTTTGCTTCGCTTATAATAGTGTTCTAAGATTTTGTTTCCCTTTTTTGGGCCAAGTGCAATGTGCTTGTCATTTTTTTATTGGTAAATGCACTCTGCTTTTTATGGGAATTAAGCAGATATTCAATTTTAGCCTTGTAACAGCTTTCGAGACTCAAACCATATGAATTATAAATAAAAAGAAATACTTTTACTAATAAATTTTTTTGTCATCAATTTAATGTGAGTGTATATTCCTTTTATGTTTGAGGCCAAATGCCCCAAAGAAATTAAAATATAATGAAACTAACCATAAAAAATTTGCATGGCGCCCTTCAAACCACAGGGAAACTATAATTTACCCTATCTTATCCTCTACCATCAAGAACACCGATTGACCTAAATTTTATTCGTAAGTAGTTCTGCCATGATTTTAGTGTTTCTTACATCTTTTAGAACCTTGTCATAGCATTCTTTATTGGTTTATTTCAAATGGGAAACTATCCAATATTGACTAAGATTGTTTTTTCTGATGCTCCAACCAGATGGAATCTGACAGCAAGTGGACCAAGACCAAACCCTCAGGGCTCCTACCACTATGGAATGATCAAGCCTTCTAGAACCATTGTGCTTGCAAACTCTGCTCCTATTATCAATGGGAAGCAGAGGTATGCTGTTAATAGTGTCTCATTTCAACAACCAGATACTCCATTAAAGCTTGCTGATTACTTCAATATCCCTGGAGTTTTCTATGTCGGAAGCATTCCTAGCTACCCCACTGGAGGAAATGGCTACCTCCAAACATCGGTCATGGGTGCTAATTTCAGAGAATTTGTGGAGATTGTGTTCCAAAATTGGGAAAACACTCTTCAGTCATGGCATATTGATGGTTATTCCTTCTGGGTTGTTGGGTAAGCTAGCATATATCCTTAATAAACTGTCTTTCCTGTTCCTTTTCCATTTGGGTAAATTACTATTTATTCTTGTGGTTTGGCTCAAAATTAAGTTGTCTTTTGTGATTCAAACCTCAAAGTTCATTATTGAATTCCATATGGTTTGTTTCATTGCTATGCAGCCATGTCAATTTGTAAGTGAAACGGCATTTTAACAAATTCAACTGTTCATGGACCTAATTATTTTCCCTAGACCTTGATTGTAAAATAACACAAGTTTATATTAGATAATAACAGAACCAATGGCATGAGACTATTAGGGCGAATTTATTTAGGGCCAAAATATAGAGTCTCAAGTGTAATTTACCCTTTTCTGTTTCCATTCTAAATATCTGACTTGCCATTTTGTGAAATGTTCAGGTTTGGTAGTGGCCAGTGGACAGCTGCAAGTAGAAATAGCTACAATCTGAGAGACACTGTTGCTAGATGCACCACTCAGGTAAAAACCATGGAAGAATGTCCTTCCAATCATTTGAGTAAATTTGTGACTGAACAGAAAAGGCTGAACATTTAACTTGTAAACGGTACATCAAGAAAAACCTCAAACACTGGAGAGATCCATTGAAGTCTTTTGAACTTTTCATTATCTCTGCATCCAAATCATACTCATTAGCTTTATAGGTCTTTTTTGCTCATATACTAATCCTAATCTTAACATTAAGCATTAATTAATCTTCGGTTGACTGATCTGGGAAAAGAAGTTTTCTTGAAGTCATTTAATGGATACATGTGTGTCAAAGTTTCTTATCTTGCAGTATAATCCATTATTGAAACAAAGCTGTCTTGTTCCAAATGAACTCAGGTATACCCAAGGTCATGGACAGCGATCTACATGCCTCTGGACAACGTGGGAATGTGGAACATAAGGTCTGAGAACTGGGCGAGGCAGTACTTGGGGCAGCAATTCTATCTTAGGGTATATACACCTTCCAAGTCTTATAGAGACGAATATCCAGTCCCAAAGAATGCTCTTCTTTGTGGCAGGGCAAGGGGTCGTCACACAAGGCCTTTCTGACGAGGACAAGACAAGTCAAACATCTGATGTTGAGTTGAGAATTTGATTGCCTGTATTCGAAGAGTTTACTTAAATGTTGTCTTGTTAATTTATGTAAGTAGAATCGTACATTCTTGATTGTCACGAGAGGGTGACATAATGTCATTGATTTGGATTTGTTTATGTTAACATGCGGGAAATTTAAATTCTAGAGCTCATCTTCAGCTCTGGATTTTGATCAAAGGCGGGAATTTGAATTTCTTAGCAACGACTTATCAAGCTTCTGGTACTGAATTGAGGTCACAATCTGGGCAAATCCTTTTAAGATTTTCTTGTTTAATACCACCACTAATATGTAATATAAGAGTTAATTAATTAATTTGGATAAATTAAAAAAATTAGTTAAGTTAGTTATTTATAACAAATATGAATTGATTTTCTTAAAGCACTCTTTTTAATCATAATTATCATTGGATGAAAACTCTTTGTTATGTATAATCAATAGGGATATTTTAGATAATTAATTATAACTTTATGAGACATATTGGATTGAGATATTATATTTAGGACAAATTTAATTTCTAACTTGTTTTTATATTTAAAACCGGAGATAGTACATTTAAGACCAACTAGAATTAATGCGTCGCAAGGAGGAAAGTGTAAATTTTCAAAATTCAATGTTACCATAGATTAGCGTATTGTTGGATCTAGTTAGGGGAAGTTTTTTTTCAAACACCTAATCTTGAGAGAGATTGAAAAGTTTCTTTCACTTGACAGAATCATTGCTGGTGATTGTCACTATACAACTGGTATACAGTTATACACTTTATGATAATTTTTGTTGGGATGCCTGCATTTTCCCTGTGATCCTACGACTGCCTAATGAAAAAGGAAAAATGCCTAATTTTTGGTGGCACGGCTATGTTGTCTGGGATGGTGGGTTGGGACTTTTTTAAGTCAAGAGCATATATTCTTTTCACATTATAAATGGACATACTAATTAAAAATTACTACCTCCATTAAGACATGTTTGACTTTTATTTTAGTCCTAAATATAAGACCTCAATCTATTTGTCTCTCATATTTATATATTTTTTCTAAAGTAACCCTTCTAATAATAATAGTTCTAGTAAATATACTTGATTAGTAAGGATATTTTAGGAAAGATAACACCTATTTAGGACAAATAACTAACTCAACTTACTTCCTTAATCTCCTCAAATTAGTCAACTGGCTCTTATAATTATGATCGGAGGTAGTATATTAGAGTTTTATGAATATACCAAACAAATTTTTAACCCTACTTCTATTTAAAAAACTCTTCCCCGATGTCAAACAGGCATCAAGGGAAATATCATACTACCTTCGATCCTTAATATATAAGAGTTAGTTGACTAATTTGAACAGATTAACGAATTACTTAAGTTAGTTATTTATAATAATTAGGTCTTATTTTTTTTAAAAATATCCTTGCTAATCAATATATTGGCTAGAACTATTATTATTACAAGGATTATTTTGAAAATAAATAAATATGAAAGATAAAGTAAATTTGGGTCTTAATTATATTTAAAACCAAAATAAAAGTCAAATGAGTTCTTTTATTAAGGACCAGAGGTAGCATATACTCTGATGAAATATCAGTAATTCTTTATTCGATTGATGGTTTGCGGCTTGCCAAGTTGCACTCTATCAGCTTCTATGCGTATGTTAATGTATGAATGAAGTTATTGCACTCGTTACTAGAACGAATTCAAATCCAGCAGACCTGTCAATATGACAAATATGAATACAAATCACTGAGGAGAAATGCTAAACATATATATATGTTGAATCACTCTCAACAATTACTTTAAGCCCAACCCCTCCAAGGCAGCTTTAAACAACCAACTAAGCATATACACAGACCTGCGCAAATCCTCATACATGACAAGCTTTTATGACAAATATGTGTATGTAGACACTGGTCAAAGGTTGTAAGAATCCATTAAAGTTGTTCCTATTGCAGTGTTCTTTGAAGTCTAAAGGGAGGGGGTGACAGCAGCAAATATAGTACTCTCTGAATAGAGTCAAGAACACACACACACACACACACAACATGAGCAGTGAAGATACTGCAGGGTTTCTGGAATCCTACGTAAGACTAGACACGAGAGGGAATATTCTGCAATATTCTGAAACCGCCTGGTCTGATTCTGATCTCTTCCATTCCATGCATTCGCATGTCAGTGAGGTCTGGTTTTTCTCAGCAAACTTGGCTTTGTCCCCAGAAACTTCCAAGTAAAGCCTCCTTGCTTATTCCAACCAATGGCATCTACCTGTGTCCATACCCTGCAAAGCTAAGGTGTGAGCGTGGGAGGAAATTCCGACATGCGAGCTATGCCTACGTGGCAACTAACCCGCAACAACGTTTGAATACACACACATGGCCGTCGTCTCTGCCCCGGATAACCGGAGCGTTTCATGAACTGATTAGTGTAGCTTCTTCGAATATGACATTCTGGGTTTTCATCAATAATACTTTGTTTCCTCTGGAGACATCATTGCTTATGTCAACTTATATCTTAGTTAACTTCTGAAAATCTTTCTAAAATTTAATATTCGCCCATCATTAAGGACCCATTTGGATTGGTAGTAGAAGCTGGATGTGATATATTCAAAATAGAGATAAAAGAAATTAGCTAGATTGGTGACGTAATTGTAAGATATGGAACTTAGAATTATATATTCTCTTGTTGCTTTTATTTTCTTCATATACAAATAGATGGTATAATGATATTCATTATTATTGAGTTAGATTTAAGTATTTTTTATTCTAATTGAGAGAAACTCTTTCAAAGTCATTTAACTTATTCATACATATTTGAATTTAAAACTTCGTACCTAAATTTGTTTTCTTGGATCTCTCTTTCACATGCATGATTGTGTAGCTATATAAAGAATTTCTCTTCTTTTCAATGTTTTTACTTTATCTATCCTTTTTATGACTAAAGGAGATCTCCTCAATTTATACATAAAAACACATTCTTTTCTAATTCATTTATGATTTCCCCCTTAATTATTTCCTTTTTCCGGGTCTCTCTCCTCTTGGGCCGTTAAACTGAAGATTACGGTTTTACTGACTGGGTTGTTACAGCCTGCAGTAATAATTTGATAATTACTGTGATGGGAACATTTGTTTTTTTAAAAAAAAAAATACAGGGGAAGTGCTATTTTATAATGGAGAGGTCTTTGATTATTTGAGCAGAAAAAGAATCTGCAGAACTGCAGGGAATATATAATCAATGGCTGTGGGGTTTTGATCAAATGTTAAAAGCTATATCAATTTATTTTTTTCAGAAAAGAAAAAAAAAAGGTGGCTGTGGCATTTCAAGACAAAAAGAAGAGAAAATTAATTAGACAGCAGAATCTTTTGTCCTTATTATAAACAGACAGAATGTCCGAAAAAATTATCATGATCTGAAGAAAATGATATCACACTTAGACTTTCTTGGTGGGAATATATATAGCTCTCTAAAACCTTCCATTTCATGCAATTCATCATGAAGCCAATAACTTTGTGAATTACTATTATACTAGGGATTTTGAGTCATGAGTTTCCACCACATCTCATCATTTAAGAATCTGCAAAATAATTTTTTAATTCCAATTCTGAATATAGGAGCAGATGTAACTAATTTGCATATAGGGTTAAGATGTATCCAGTATTCCAAAATATTTTTTCATGTACATCCAGCACCCTAAAGTATTTTGTAGTGTATTTAGTATTCCCAAATATTCCCGAAATATTTTTTTTAGATGCATCCAGTATTCTGAAGTTTTTTTTTGTCTTGTGCTGAATACACCAAAAATATTTTTGGATGCTAGACGCACCTAAAAAAAATACTTCAGGGTACTGAATGTACCAAAAAATACTTCACAGTAGTAAACGCATCTGAGAAAATATTTCAAAATGCTCGATGCATCCAATGAAATATTTCAGGACACTGGATGTACCTTAACCCTTCATATATGATGAACATTAGTTAGTTTAGTCATTTGTTATAACTATGTTGTGGTTTTCTTAAAATACCATTTTAATCATTATTATCTTGATTGATAAAAATTCCTTTAATACCATACCAGGGGTCCTAAATATAATATTTGGTTTTTAGTGAACTACAAAGTACTCCTCTAGTCCTATTTATAAGACAGAGAGATAATGCATTTTTGTTCTATTTGTAGGGCATTAAGAGAGATTTTTTGTATGAATGTATAAGTTTACCTGTCATTTATTATTGTGTTGACTTCATTTATATGAAGTAAAATGTATATTAAATAGGAATAAAGTTAAAAAGTTGTTAAATTTTAAATGAGAATTAATGAAGTTTAATGTTTTTTTTGTCTATGTGAAACATGTTAGAAGTGACTTATAAATAAGACCAGAGGGGTAGATCTTATATTTAGAACTAGAGATAGTAATATATGCAATCAATGCGAATAATTTGGAAAAAAATTATAGATTTGGGAGACAAGAATTGATTGAGGCATTACATTTAAAATCAAAATATACCTGTTAATTAACTATCCCTTGTATTTGGAACACACACCCACATAATGAAGATTCGATTTGTCTGCTTTATATTTCAAATGGAATTTATGAAGTTTTACATGAGAGATCTGAAACTGCGTGTTTTTTTCTTCTATCAATCGAAAGTGTGTAAGACTACAAGCTCATGAAGGGGTCACAAAAGGACAAGGCCTTTAGTATCTTTATTCTTCTTTTGTTCCTTTTAGGAACCGCCTGCTCCTAGCTAGCCAGCAACACAAATTATGAGGACACTAACAAAAGTTACTATTAATTAATGAAGAGGTCTCAACTACACTCTCTCAAAGTCTCTCCAATATCATCACTTTCTTCTCTCCTCCTCCTTCTTCACTTGGCATTAGGGTTGCTGCACCGGAGATGACATTATTGGTGATAATGACCGGCGTTTGGGATGGAGATCGCCGGCCGTTAGGCCTTATGTACGGTCCAAAACGCCTCGGCTTCGGTGGACATCTGATCTTCACCGTTGCTTCTTGCTTGCAGTTCAGAGGCTTGGGGGAGAAGAGAGTATATAATATAATTAATTAAGTTTTTCTCAAATTTTGTCCTCTTATCATTCTTCCTGTTCTTGTTCTTCTTCTTCTTCTCTTATAATAATGACTGAAAAACATATATTATTCTTACAAGACATTCCTAGAATGTTTTTGAAAAAGTT